TTTTTTGGCCAATGAAGCTTTTAGCAATTATTTAAAACGCATCTGATCACTCTACACAATAATCTAGAAACAATGTGAATGAATTCCACAACAGCTTAAGCAGCAAACTTTGCAAAACACAAAATTTATGTCACTGCCAAAACTTTTGGCCACGACTGTAAACGTGGGCACACAGTGTGACGGAGCGTTAAGAGAGGGCGACTTTCAGGTGTCCATATTGGGGACGGGCTCTTTAGAGTGGTCATTATACATAAAGGTCTCCTCGATGTTGAAATCGGGCGGCAGCTGGTCTTTATGGAGCTCCATGTGCGAGGAAACCATCTTGAGCGTGGAGAAAAACAGGCCGCAGACGGTGCAGCGGTACATGAGGGCGCCCGAGTGCGTCTTTAGGTGGCAGATCATGGTGGAACGGCCACGGAAAAAGCGCATGCATACTTTGCACTGGTAGGGCTTCTCGCCCGTGTGGATGCGAAGGTGGTAGGTGAACTCGCCCGAGTGTGCGAAATGCTTACCGCAATACCGACAGCGATACAGTTTTTCTCTTCCGCCACCAGAGTTACCGTTCAGTACGAGTCCGGCAGGAAACAAGGCGCCGCCGTGAGCCATTTTGTCCTGCATGCTGAAGCCCAGGCTTAAGTTATAACCTGCTTTACCCGAGCCGCTCGCCTCCATAGGTGAGGAGGAGGGTGAGGAGTATTCGAGGAGCTGGTCCACCTTGCGCTTGGCCTGCCATACCTGGCTGCCCTGGAGCTCGTTCGAATGCACGCTGAGATGGTAATGAAACGCGGTTTCCGAGTGGAAGGTCTGCAGACACAGGAAGCAGCGCAGCTCGGCCTGGCCTTCTCCGCTGGTCTCTGGGCTGCCGTCATCCTGTTTCACCGATGCTCCTTCCTCTGTGTGTAGAGACAGGTGTCTTTCCAGCAGCGTGCTCTCCAGGAAGGGGCTGGTGCATTGTGGACAAGTGTAAATAGGAAAGAGGTGTGTCAGTGTGTGCCACAGGAGGGCGCATCGAGAGGGCTGAGACAGCTGGCACACTCCACAGCGTAATGTCCTCAAGCATGCGTGGCTCTGAACGTGGTCCCTGACAGTCTGAGGAAAAAGATCATCCGTTAGTAACATAAACAAATCATTAACATTAATTGAAATAAATTGTTAATACTGAAGTAAAAGAAATGACAATGAATTTGTATTATATCATCTTTCTACAGTATTTGGTAGTGTTGTCAGAAGAGTCATAACAAAAACACTTTTAGAATATTAAAACAATAAATATAATATTAACAATATTAAAATATCACATACAGTGGGTACGGAAAGTATTCAGACCCCCTTAAATTTTTCACTCTTTGTTATATTGCAGCCATTTGCTAAAATCATTCAGTAATTTCAAAGTGAACTTACAAAAAAGTGAATTTAAGTAGTTTTCTTCCTTTACCACACAAGTTAGTTAGCAGCATGTAACCAACAGAGTTGTGGTTTTTGTTATATGAAATAATAAATAATATTTAAAATATATTTTTTTAATATTTGCTTTTTTCATATTTATTGTAACATTTGATACAGCTGTTTTTATTTGTTCTAGTGCTTGTAATGTTTCTTAGTTTTTTACTACTGTTTCCTTGAAGCAATTACTGTAAAGCAATGTTGGCTTAATGTAAAATATGAGATGTTTTTACATTTTATTTTAATAATTAATCATATTATTAATATTTAATCAAAGCATATTTCTATATTCAAAATTCATTTCTCATATAGAGAGAGAAAGAGAGAGGGAGATAAATACTTGAATGCAAGTCTATTTACGAATAAATAAATATTATATAAATGATTAATTTATTAATAATAAAAAAAACTTAAAAGGTGTTTTAACAGTGTTAGTTTTGTACAATTTTTATACCATTATTATTAGCTTTTATTTGTATATTTTCAGTTTTAATTTAAGTTTAAGTTTGTGTGATTTTGCTATGTTCTATTGTCATTTTAATTAATTAATTATACTTACTTAGCCTTAATTTATCCAGTTTAGTAATCAGTTTTAACTTCAGTAAGTTGCCAAGTTTTTAACGTTTTTAAGTTTAAGTTTTTCATCGAATATTTGTTATATTTTATTTTAGCTTTTTTTCAATTAACGAATAAGGCATAAACATAATATTTCCAGGTATCACGTTGCATCTGTGGCCAGTTGAATAAACTACAGTACTTAAGACTAGTCTTTCAAGTTATCCAATTTTTTTCTTCAAGACTGGTCATAACTTTTTTGAATTCAGTTATATAAAATGGTATATTGGTCTAATTTGAATCTGAAAAGTAGGCTAAGACTGATTACCACTTGGTTAACTCCCAAATGACACACTATACTCTGTGTACTTACACACTATGTACTGTACTCAACCATATAGTGTATGAATTTTATAAGGTTATTTTGTCATTAATAATCGGAGTCTGATAGCCCCTCCCCCTTTGTGACAGTTGAGTGCATGAAGTTTCCCAAATTCCACACTTCGTTTTTTTTTCAGTTATTTAGGTGTATCATCGGAGTATCTAAAGTGCACTTTTTCTTTTTGGAATTTTCAGTGTGAACACACTTCTCGCACTATTTCTACTAAAAAATGTCATAGAATAGTGCATAAGTACGCGATTTGGGACGCACCTTAAGTTTATGCAACTGGCCCCTGGTTAGGGTTAAGACATGTATAAGACTTATACACAAAAAACTGCTCCACTAACCTTAAAATCATTTGCCATGGATTTAGCACAGATGGTGCACTGCAGTTCCCCTCCTTGTCGTTGGGAGGCTCCGTTCAGTTGGTCTGGATTTTGAGGGGCGCACTTGGCAGCTGACTGACGCCTGTGGTGAATCAGCGCA